ACAATCTGCTTAAGGTTTATGTTAAAGCAGACATGTCAAACACAAGGCCCAGGGGGCCGGATGCGGCCCGCAAAGTGGTTTCATGTGGCCCGCGAAGCCATCCTGGAAACAGTGAGGGAACGGCCCCCGCTGCCTTGGCCCTGGCCCAAGCCGGCCAGGAGCCAATGTACAATTTTGTGGTGGCCTTCTATGCTGAAATTCATTCAGTCTTAGCTCCACAAGGCCGTCTGGAACCAGCGAGAAACCGGCCCCTGCCGTGTCGGCCGCGACCCCTGGGTGCATGCTGGGGAGGTGTCACCCTTTGTGAGGAATGAAGAAATGCACCATCGCCTGGAAGTGGCCAGCAAATGGCCCTCGCCTACTTCACATATCCGGCTTGATGGGTTCTGGCGGAGGGGTTTCAGCAGGCAGTGAGGCTCCTCCAGTGGACCATGCCTTGGCACTTGCCCCGGTCCCACCCCCTTCTGCCAGAGACCCTCAGATCTGTCCTGTCCAGGCCCCCACAGGCACCCTTGACGTGAACGATGTAGAGCTGGCCATGCCCACTCAATAAGCCACCCACACTCACCCTGGCCACCCCCACCCCCGAGGACAACCGCAATGCTGATGCGGCCCTCAATGAAATTGAGTTTGACACCCCTGTGTTAAAGGGACACATATATCTTTTGATTATTGTGTGACCCAAAGTTGCAGTTCAGTCCCTGTCTGGGAGGGAAAAGAAACCAGCCATTAATTAGCTTGAGAGGCAGGGCCTGGAGGTGGAGTGTGGAGTGGAGGGCCAGGGATACAGACAGAGCAAGCACATATTCCTTTTGCAACGGACATGTGGCTGGATTCGGTAGCCAAGACTCCTTCACTCCGATATTTCCAGAGCTAGCCTGCTTTTTTCTAAAAGGAACCTTATTTTATTTTTTTGTACTTTGATTGCTTTCTAGGACTGTTGAGTGGGATGGTGGCCTAGTGGTGAAGACACTCGCCTCCCACTCAGAAGGTTGAGAGTTCAATCCTAGTTAGCTGGCAGATGTGTCAGGGCACAGAGAAAAAACATCTGCTGGGAACTCCATGTAGGTATCAGGAAGGGCATCCGACCAGTAAATGCTCAGCTTTTATCAGTTGCCCCGATGCCACTCAGTCATCCCGACTCTATGCTGAATTAATGGATTACAGGGTCATAAAAAAATGCTTTCCCCCCCTTTTAAATGTCTTTATTGTTGAAGATTGAGGGTTGGACTAGTTGACATCCAGGCTCAGCTGGATGTCAATGATTCTACCCTATAATATTTATATATTTAGTGCCTATGTCAGTTTTTGACTCCTGGCAACTGTCTGGACTATTTCCTGTAGCTCTTTTAGCAATGTTTTTCAGAAGTGGTTTGCCATTACCTATTTCCTAGGACTGAGAGAGAGCGACTGGCCCAACCAAGGTCACCCAGCTGGCTTCCTGCCCAAGGCAGGACTAGAACTCACAGTCTCCCAGTTTCCAGCCTGGTACCTTAACCACTACACCAAACAGGCAACCCATTTTAAAGGTTTTCAAATTATCATTCACCTGCAAACAACTTGAGCTCCCTAATGAAGTAAGGGGTGGTACAGAAATAACGTTAACCACAATGAATGTGACTTGGAGACTGTTTTGTGTTTCCATGTGACTACAGGAACTCAGCGACAGGCAAATCCAGTATCACAGGCAAAATCTCAAAACCTGCTTTCCTCATCAGCTCTACTCACCCCCTACTAACGGGAGAAAGGTCATTGCAACCTGGTGGCTTTGTCCAGTTTTGGGCAACAGGGCAAACACAACAGGAGAGGCCTACCTTTGATGGGCTGCTGCCACATTTACGCTGTCCATAATGTTTTTCACAGTCTCAAGGATCTGTTTAGCTCTGATAGTGTGCTGCTCAAACTTGGTTTTCACAGCTGACTGCGAGATACACTCCTGCGAGGGGCCCAAGTCACAACACATTACTGCAATTCCATCATCAAAACACTTGGGAATTTCGAGCTTTCAGAGAACGCTCTGATGCTGTTATAGATACACATAGGTATAAAATAAAGCAAAGGGGGTGGGGGAGAAAAACAAAACATAAAGAACAAAAAAAAAGAGCAGCAAATAAAACCCCAACTCTAGAGCAGTGAAATTCCGCTCTCTTTTACCGTTTAGCTAACAGTAATGTGTAGGAAGTAACAGAACGATAAAGGCAACAATTAACAAAAAAAAATCCACTTAACGCAAGTATTTTGGAATCTCACAAAACTGCCTGCTGCAGGTGATTTATATTACAGTTTAGATGCACTCCTGAGAAGCTAGTGGGAAAATGAGAATGCATATATGAGAAATGTCCGCAGGCACGTAAAAAGTGGGAGGAGCTTCAACTGCACCACAGCGGCTGCCATTTTGACTTGTTTTTACATACACTGTGGACACTCTTGGCGTATATTCTGCAATTACGACGACTGTGACTGGATAAATGCATCTGGATTTCCTTGTGAATGCGTTCTTGAAAGTCTGCAGCTACAAGTACTTGTCAGCTTTGGTTTCTGAATGATATGGATCGTAGCTGGGTTAACTATCAGTCTTATCTGATGCAAAACCATCTACCTTAGGATTGGCTCTCCGGAGTCTCCATCGCTCCCAGTCCATACTGAGGACCAGCCTACCCTACCATTGCATGATGGTCCTTACCCAAAAACCACAGAAAGGGGAAAGATAAATGGATTAATGCTTCCTGCATCCATACATAGTAGCCGGAGTATCTCCCACATGCCACAGGCTGAAGACACATTGATCTGGGGTTAGGGTTAGGATGTTAGGGTTAGCTGGTGCTATAATCTGATTCTGCTCATGGAAGAAAGCCATCCAGAAATTCTACATGTGAAGTTTTCATGTTAAATGCAATAAATAAAGATGTTTATATTATTCATATAAAGACAAGGTAGCCAAAAAGTCTGTGTAGACACAACTGGGTCATCATTGGGATGGAGGTCTTCTAGTTCAGTGTTTCTCAACCTTGACTATTTGAAGGTGGGTGGGCTTCAACTCCCAAAATTCCTCAGTTAACCATGCTGGCTGAGGAATTCTGGGAGTTGAAGTCCACCCTTCATTAAGTGTCCAAGGTTGAGAAAAACACTGTTCTAGTTTATTCTCTGGTCAGCTTAGGCTAAATGTCACCTTCAGGTTGTTATGGTAGTATGAGGAATATAATGACTCTTAAATACTTGAAAATCCTTTGTTGAAAGAATAGGCCAGGGGTCTTCAAACTTGGCCCTTTTATAACTTGTGGACTTCAAGTCCCAGAATTCCTCAGCCAGGCACGCTGGCTGAGGAATTCTGGGAGTTGAAGTCCACAAGTCATAAAAGGGCCAAGTTTGAAGACCCCTGGAATAGGGTCTATTCGATTAAGAAGGTATGGGCTTACATCTGAAGAGTTACTGGCTGTTCAGTAAAACCTTGAATATTTTATTCACTTGTTTACCAAAAGAAAGAGCTGGTTTTCTTCTACATTGCACTCTCCTAGACTCCTGACAGAACTTAAAATTGCAGCTCACACTCTCCACCTTAATAAGGGCTATTGGCAAAAGAAGAGTAAGAAAAACAAAGCAAATATAAAATGGAAATAATAGACAAGAGCCATTACGCTCGACGAAGTAGGTCTAGAAATCAGCAATGAAAAAACAAGTGATTCACGTTAACAAGAGCACATTGTTAGAGCTACACAAGATTCGTAGAGAAGTCCAATTCCAGGTCAGCTAACAGGTAGAAGGCAGACTGTACAACAAGTAAGTAGTAGGAAGCTATAGGAAGCATTAGCCATACCTCAGGGATGAAAAAGAGAGAGAGAAAATAATAAAAAGCAGGCAATCAGTTCAAACAATCCCCCTCATTGACAAGATCGGGACAGAGAGATGCCTGGACCCCCTTCCAACCAACAGTTCAAGAGTTTGTCTCTAGCCCCGGCCCAGCTAAAAGAGGGCAGTTGAATGGCTGGCTAGTAGGCCCCATTTCCTGGGCTTTGGGGGGCCTGCCTTAATACAGGTGTTTTGGCTTTCTAAGCTGACCGCCAATCCTAAAGCAAAACAAATAAAAAAAAAAGATGAAAACACTTCTAAGTACTTCCTTCAGTGATGTTGATCATGGGTCCTTCAGGACTTAGAGATGATAAATGATCACATCTACTGTATCACAATAGCAATAGCACTTAGGCTTATATACCACTTCATAGTACTTTATATAGCACCCTCTAAGCCAGGGGTCCTCAACCTTGGCCACTTTAAGACTTGTGGACTTCAACTCCCAGAATTCCTCAGCCAGCTTTGCTGGCTGAGGAATTCTGGGAGTTGAAGTCCACAAGTCTTAAAGTGGCCACGGTTGAGGACCCCTGCTCTAAGCAGTTTACAGAGTCAGCATATTGCCCCAAACAATCCGGGTCCTCATTTTACCAGTCCTCAGAAGGATGGAAGGCTGAGTCAACTTTGAGCCGGTCAGGATCGAACTCCTGGCAGTGGAATGCAGAGTTAGCCTGCAGTACTGCATTCTAACCACTGCGCCGTTACAGCTCTGCAGGCTGCCTGGCTATTGAGTTGGTTAGTTTTTCCTCCTGTAGATGTCTACAGCCTTTCAGCCCTTTTTTTTTTTCAAAATTTTCCTCCACTCCACCCGCTCCATATTTCTCCACAGAGATGCTGAGAATTGATTTTCATGCAAAGAGAAGACTCTGGGTTGTGTTCCTAGAAAAGGCATTAGCAAAGCATTCATAACACTACAGTTCTTTCGAGGGGACACTCAAGTTCCTTCTTAGTCAAGAATTTAATCCCTGAAGCTTGACAGGAACTGAATCAGGGAAACATGATTGTGGTACGTCTCCTCCTCCTCCTCTTTTATATCTTAAACGGTATTTGCAAACTACCTCAATCAATGGTGATGCCGGCTGGACTGCCACAAAAAAGACAAAGCAATAATACGACATGGGGGCAAGATCAATGATAGTCAATATGACATGGGGGCAAGATCAATGATAGTCAATATGACATGGGGGCAAGATCAATGATAGTCAATATGACATGGGGGCAAGATCAATGATAGTCAATATGACATGG